CCGGTGACCGGTTCATACGAAATTGGGAATTCGTATGAACGCACCGTGACCTGTGACGCGGCAAAAAAAAATTCGAATATCGAGCCCGAGAAGCCAAATTTGGCAAGCTCGGAGGTGTCACAGGGTGGGGCAATTCGAATGGATCCCCTGTGACCTTGTGACCATTCGAAAAATTTTCGAAAATTTTGGGCCGTGTGACCTGTGACATTCAAATTGATCGAAATAGGTCAGTATTCCCCAGATCAGGTTGAACTAGTTCTCCTTACGAGGACTTGTACTTCAGGATCTCTGTACCTACCAGTACTATACACTTAGCTTACCAGCTATTTACAAACTACCTACCGCCTACCTACACTCTATATACCTACGATACAGCATGTCGCTTGCTACATCGTGTTCTCTGTCCTTTTCTGCGTCCTCGTCGTCCATCGCAGCGCTGACAGCCTCTCTTTCTTACAGGTCGTTCATCGCTGGTGTTCATGGTCAGGGCCTCGAGTGGGACGAGTCGAGCTTCCTGGACGCTGTGAGTGCTTTCCTTTCTCATTGTCGTGCTCGTTGCTCATACTACTGTCGTCGTCGTCGTTGTCTCAGGCTGGCGTGGACGACTCTTATCTCTTCGACAGGCCCGTCGACCGCGACTTCGAGGATGAGAGCTTCCTGTTCAATCCTGGATGCGAGGTGAATATCTCGCTTGTTTATTTGAGCCCATGTTCTGACCATCAGTGCCTTTGTAGGTCCTCGACACTTCGGACGTCGTCGTCTGTCAAGGCTCTGGATATGTGTCTCAGTCTGACATCCCGGTATGTCCCGACCTGTCTTCGTCCAGTTTTTGACCTCTGATCCATATTACCTTTATACAGGTCCTTGAAGAGGTGCTCCCCGCTGTCAAGAGGGTCCATGAGCATCATTCGGGACCGGTTGTTCATGACCAGAGACGCCGGCTCTTGTTCGAAATCCAACGACAAGACCAGGAGCACCGGCAAGAGATGGACAAGATTCGACGCGACCTCGGGATCATCAAGGACGAAGGCGAAGACTGGGAGGACAACGTCTCGATGGACGTGGAGGAGGCCGAGGACGAGGACGTTCCGATGGTGGATATGCTTGGAGCTTTGGAGGAGCGGGCGAGGCGGACTGGGATCCCATGGGGCTACTTTTAAGCCTGAGTATGTTGTTTTCGCTCTTCCAGCTTACAATGTCGCTGATCATCTGTGTTTCAAGAGCTGTAGGATTTTCTGGGGACTTGTTGCTCGTTCTATCGAGCTCGCTGTGGTTGGCCACCATGGTGGGTGAGGTAGTCGAGTGATTTGTCTTTGGAAGGCGTCGAGCCGGTCGCCTTGTCTGCTTTGCTCGCTGTGGCTGGCCACTGCGGTGGGTGGGGTGTATGAAGTGGCTTGTCTCGGCGCAGGGGTTTGGGCAATGGGCGTCAGGTGAGTAATCCTTCCCTCCCCTTGGATGATGTCGGCCTCTTCGCGGCCCAAGGGACCAGTAGTCGTGGACAACAGTCCACGATGAAGCTAACAGACATCACTGTCTTTTTGACTCGCTGCGCTGATCATGTTTCATGCTAGAGACATCCAACACCATCCCACGTTGAAGTGAACGTCGGGTGGTTATCGATGTATCTTATACTCGTTATGACGCCGCACTAGCCTGCCGTAGAGTTATAAGTGGGCCCCGTAAAAATACACGTACCCCAATCTACTTCTGCTTCTTCGTCCCCAAGCCTTCTCCTGATGAGCCAACAAAAACATCTTGTTCAGAATAAAAAACGTACCTGAGTACCAGAACGGTCTATGAGTAACACACGAGAGGACACGAGAACGCGGCAACGGCATGAAAGGATACATGTAGCGCAGCATACAGTCGTGATGCACAGAAGGTTATTCCAAGCTTCAAGGAGCATATTATATAATCAGTCGAATTTTTCCAGACAGGTTGTATTTGTACATAACGGAACTCTGGAGGTGGCGTCTACTTCTTGACGATGTAGGAGAATCCATCATAACCCTTAACACCCACAGTCCCGATGGTTGTAGCTTCGACCTCTGTATCGTCCTTCAGGAACTGCAAAAGCTCCCGTATCTTGACATTGATGAATTCCGTATTCGTAGGATTGGAGACTCCGCCTCCCTAGACCATGTTATCAATGAACTCGAGTAAGCGGTGGTATTAGACGTCGGGCAATAAGCGATGGCTCAGAAAAAGAGCTTACAATAACGCCGCCGGACCTAAAAAGTCTCTTCGCCTCGGTGTAGTAAGTCGTAAAATGACTCGTGTCAGCGTCAATGAAAGTGAGGTCGAAGGGTGGAGGGTCTGGCTTGAGCTTGGCGAGAGACTCGTGCGCAGGACCGACGATGATCTTGACGCGAGCGGATACATCTGCGCCAGCGTTTCGAGGCTCTCTCGAGCGACCTGCAAGGAGAATACGAAAAATCGAATGAGTCTTTACCAATTCAGACGGAACTCAAGGGCGGATCACCTTTGCGTGCCCTTCCTTCAGCTCGGGGGTAACGAGAGAGCCAAATTGCCGAATAGCTGTAAAAGTCCCATTACTGGTGAGATCAACGTGGATGTTGTGGATCGGAGACGGATACGCACCCTCCAAGTGTCTCTACTTCCAAGATCCTTGTTGCCTGGATCGACTTGGTAATTAGGTACAGAGATTTGCCCTGGAGCGGCAATTTCGGGGTGTCCTTTCTGTGTGCTGTTCTGTACGGCAAAGTCAAGAGCATCATCCTGCGCGACGAGGAACGAGCCCTGGTACTTGTCCTCTCGAGTCCGGATTTATTGGTTGCTCATTGTATACTGAAGGTGTGATGGAACATACTGGTTGAAGCCTTTTATACCATTTCTTGTGTCTATAATCCTCGTCAGAGTCAAGACCAAGGTTGACCGCAGCAGCAGAGGATCCAGAGATAGTTATTTGATAGGATGCGATCATGTGTTGATCCTATCACGGTGAAACTTTCATCTGTCGCATTATCAGATAAGATGACTATCAACTGAACCAGTGAGTCCTCAAACTAGATGGGCTCATACCAGCGGCAAAGAACTGAATCAGGACTCCTCTCGTAGTGAGCAATGACCAAAAAATGACTGCTTTTTGACAGCATCCCGCACCCTTCACCCTGCAACCCGGCAAGTAAATGATCGGGCTCCAGTCAGAAGTGAACTCGCGACCCACCTCACGGCGGTTGCTGCGGAGTCCATGTTTTAAGTCTTCAAGCTTCAATATTCACGATTGCATGGTTGGATAAGTGATGATAAAGTTTAGTGAGGGTCAACACCTGACAATCTGTTTGCTGCTAGATTAAGATGGTCGTAAGAGCCCCGAGCAAATGATTCGATGATAAGCCACGACCCACCACCATTAGAAGGTAGGAAAGCTTACAACTCCACACGCTGTCAATGCTTTCGGCTTGCATTGGCATACGCGATTACATGCCGCTTTTCGCGTCGTTGAAGGAGTCGCAGGAGTGCGGGCTGAGCCCAGGAGTGGTCCCAACTACCATGGGGCTCTTGACGACGCGTGTACAGTGGTCGATACGTGTTTTCGTTGTTGACTTCAAGCTCGGAAGGGTTCGCTTCAATTTCGCCAGGCTGCAGATGTCGACGTCCAGTGTGCACCTCCTCGGGGTGCCACGAATTGACCTGGGGATGTCTCCACCCAGCGACTTGGTCTGATTCATCAGCTGGTTGATCTCGCAGATCGCGAGCCAACAACGAAAGATTGCCTCCACCTGAACATCATCAGTGGAAACTTAGTTGAGATTCAAAAATTCTTGCTCGTTCCAGCAGGGTTGCGAGTCGTGGTTCGTGCACCTTAGGCAGCAATTGTGACGGCCCGAACAAGGCCTTGAGGGTGGGTTTATTTGACGTGGGAAATCGGCCTTAGAGGCCCTGCTCACCGTGCCGTAAACGCACGTCTCTGTCTTTTCACCGTCCACGACCTGCTCGCGCCTATACGGTGAGCAAAACAAATCGCTTATAGCACAGCAGCAGAAGCTAACAGAAGTACTACGATGCTTTTAGGTGCTTCTAGGGCTGCAGACTCAGAGAAACGTCTTCGAAGTTGTTCTGTATCCTGTCCTGTGCTTCATGCGCACCTCAAGCAGCCGACCTTGAAAACCGGATTTCGCACTTTGGACGCACTCTGTAGACGTGAAACGGAAGGAAACGCCTCTACGCAAAAGGGTTTGAGTAGAACCAGTTGGAAACAACGGATTGACGACAAAGAAAGGTGCGCTCTTCCCTGCGCGCTTTCCCCCGTGCTATCCATATCTGGGCCTCACCTCTATGTACCCTCCTTCTTAGGTCTTCAGAATGCAGTTTACCCTCGGAAAAACAACGATTAGCCCCAGGAAACGACGGAGCAAAGCCAACCAAACGG